TTTTTGAACTACAGTAGGATTTTTTTTATTATTTAAAGGATAAAAATGTGATAATTAAAGGATAAAAGAGATAAAAGTGTGATAGTTACCGGATAAAAGTGTGATATTATTGGTCATATGATAACTGATTACATAATATTCAAATAAGGACAAAATTTTGTAATATAAACCTATTCAAATACAACTTAATCTCTATGTTTTCTATCACACGTCTAACATACCTATTCATGGTATATTAAAACTCTTCCGATATAATTCTGATTCTCACATTAATTATCCAACAAACTCTCTTTCATAACAATTAAAAAATTTAGGTCAAATTTCAATACTTTGAGAGGCCAATGTAAAAAAATTAATAATTCAGGGGATAAATTAAAATTTTTTGTATCTTTCAAAAAGCGAAATAAGATTTACCCAATATTTTATGATAGAAATTTTGTTACAGCTTAGGATTGACAATTTTTAATACGAGCTGTTAATTTTACTTGATCTCGCCACGAAATTAAGTTCAAATTATAATTAAAATGAACCATCAAATCTTGTAAATAGGTAAATCGACACAAATTGAGATCTACACAATATGAATTGATTTGGCTTACATTACTATAAAGGGTAACACTACTATATCGCCAACCTACTTTTCAGTATGGTACCGAAAAGTAAGGTGGGCTGTATATGTGACATTTTAAAACCGGTGAAACCGGTTGTTCTAAAAAAACAGCACCTAGCCCAAAAGAGTTGTAATACATCCAATAGAGTTGTACCTAACTCAAAAGAGTTGTACATCATCCAAAAAAGTTGGAACCTCTATTCAAAAAAATTGATACCCACCCAAAAAAGTTGGAATCCCGTGCCAAAAATGTTGGAATTTCTATCAAAAAAGTTGGAACCCCTACCAAAAAAGTTATAATCCAATTTAAAAAAAAGTTAAAACCTCAAGCAAACATTGGAACCTAACAGTGAGAACCAACTCCAAAAAGTGATAACTCAATTAAAAAAATTGAAACGTGAGCCAAAAATATAAACTAATGCATAAAAGTTAAAATCTATCCTAAAAAGTTAGAATCATCCCAAAAAAATATAATTCAATTCTAAAAAATTAAACCTCATACCAAAAGCTTATAACTCAATCCAAAATAGTTGAAATCTGACCAAAACAGTTGTAATCTATAGCTAATCCGAGTCACCCCCAAAAAATTGGAAGTCAATCCAAAAAAAGTTATAACCCTGACCCAAATAGTTGGAAGCATTATTTATAATTTTTTTAATTATTTAATTTTATTCATTATTTATTTATTGTCCATAAAAAATGGGACTATTTAAAAAATATTGAATAATTTTGGACTACAGTAAGATTTTTTTGATTATCTAATGGATAAAAATGTAATAGTTAAGGGATAAAAGTGTGATATTAACCCCCGATCGGTCTTTTATTTCTTCGGCCAGTCTTAATTTTTTACATGTAAATTACACTTAGACCCCACAAATAATAATATATTATTTTTTAATTTTCTAGTGAATATTGTGGTCCACAAATCACAAAAAATTTATCTTTTCCCTCCGCCCACTTTCCCGCCCAAACCATTTTTCACTTCTCTTGCCTTCTCTCTATCTCATTTCCCACCCAAACCATTTTTCACTTATCTTACTTTCCCTCCATTTTTTTTTATCGTCCATCCCTTCTCCCTTTCACCATACAAAAAATATTTGTTTGGTTTAAAATTTGGTGTTAATATGATGAATTGAATGTTTATTTGGTATAAATTTGATGAATTAAATATTAAATGTTATTAGATGAAATTAAATATTAATTTGTTGAATCGAATATTAATTTGGTATTGATTTGATGAATTAAATGTTTATTGGATGAAATTGTATGTTACTTTGATGTTGGTTTGTTAAATTGAACCTTCATTGGATGATTTTTTTATGCCAATATGATAAATTGAGTGTTAATTTAATGAATTTGAATATAAATTAGATGAATTAAATGTTAATTTTGTGTTGATTTGATGAATTGAAAATTAATTGGATGTGATTGAAAGTTAAGTTGATGAAGTAAATGTTTATTAGATGAAATTGAACGTTGATTTGAAAATTTGAATTTGAATTTGTTATTTATTTGAAAAATTAAATGTTTATTGAATGAAATTGCATGTTACTTTGGTGTTAATTTGTTAAATTGAATCTTTATTAGAAGATTTTTTATGTTAATTTTATGAAATGAATGTCAATTGAATGAATTTGAATATAAATTGGATGAGATTGAATGTTATGTTGATGAATTAAATGTTTATTAGTTGAATTTTAATGTTAGTTTAATGAATTAAATGTTTATTAGGTAAAATTAAATGTTGATTTGAAAAATTAAATGTTAATTTGATGTAAATTTGATGAATTGAATATTAATTGGATGAAATTGCATGTTCCTTTGATGTTGATTGGATAAATTGAATATTAATTGAATGATTTTGGATGTTAATTAACATTCAATCTCACCTAATTAAGATTCAATTCATCAAATTAACATCAAATTAATATTCAATTTATCCAATTTATATTCAAATTCATTCAATTAACACTTATTTTATTAAATTAACATCCAAAATCATCTAATAAATATTCAATTTATCAAATAACATCAAAGTAATATGCAGTTTCATCCAATTAATACTCAATTCATCAAATTTACACCAAATTAACATTCATTTATTCGAATCAACATTTAATTTTACCTAATAAACATTTAATTTCATTAAACTAATATTAAAATTCAACTAATAAATATTTAATTCATCAACATAACATTCAATCTCATCCAATTTATATACATATTAACACCAAATTAACACAAAAATATTACTTGAAGGTGAAATAAAGGGAGCAAAATAAAAATATTATTATACTTCAAGAGTGTAAGTGTAATTTACTTATGGATGAATTAAGACTGACCGTTGGAATGGGCGACCAATCCTGTTGTAATATTACACTTTAATCCTTTGATATTACACTTTTATCCTTTAATATTATACTTTTAGCCTTTTGATATTACACTTTTAACCTTTTGATACTATAATTCATCAAATTAACATCCAAAATCATTTAATAAATATTCAATTTATCAAATTAACATCAAAATAACATGTAATTTCATCCAATTAATACTCAATTCATCAAATTTACATTAAATTAACATTTAATTCATCAAATCAACATTTAATTTTACCTAATAAACATTTAATTCATTAAATTAACATTAAAATTCAACTAATAAACATTTAATTTATCAACGTAACATTCAATCTCATCCAATTTATATTCATATTCATTCAATTCATAAAATTAACATCGAAAATCCTCCTAAAAAATATTCAATTTAACAAATCAACACCAACTTAACATGCAATTTCATCCAATAAACATTATATAACTAACAAATCATCTAATAAACATTTAATTCTTCAGCTTAACATTCAATCACATCTAATTAATATTCAATTCATAAAATTAACACAAAATTCACATTCAATTCATCGAATTTATATTCAAATTCATTAAATTAACACTCAATTTATCAAATTAGTATAAAAAATCATCCAATAAAAGTTCAATTTAACAAATCAACATCAAAGTAACATACAATTTCATTTAATAAACATTTAATTCATCAAATCAATACTAAATTAATATTCAATTCATCAAATTTATACCAAATAAACATTCAATTCATCCAATTAATATTTAATTCATTAAATTAACATTCAATTCATAAAATTAGGATTTAAATTAACTATTTAACATTCAGTTCATCAAATTAACACAAAATTAATATTCAATTCATTAAATTCGCATTCAATTCATCAAACTAAAACCAACATAATATAAATTGTATGAATTGAATATATATTTGGTATTGGTTTCATCAATTGAGCATAAATTTTGTGTTAATTTGACGAATAAATATGTATTGGATGAATTTAATGTTAATAGTTAAATTTATTTGTTAATTTTATTAATTGAATGTTTATTAGATGAAATGTAATGTTAATTTAGTGTTGAGTTAATGAATTAAATGTTTATTTGATTAATTTTCATATTACTTTGGTGTTGATATGATAAATTGAATTTTTATTTGATTATTTTGGATGTTAATGTTTATAAATTGAGCGTTAATTGGATGAATTGAATGTCGATTTAGTGTTAATTGGATAAATTAACTATTAATTAGATGAAATTGAATGTTACTTTGATAGTATTTTGTGTTGGGTTACACCTTTTTGGAGTTGCGACAGATGTGAATGATGGATCCAATAAAAATGGGAACTGAATTTTTTCAAAAAAAATCAATTGTTTCCTAAGAAAACATCTCACCCAACCTTTTTTTGACAAAAAATATTTTTTATTCTCAAACAAGTTATATGTACCAGTAAGGGGATGGAGGGAAGGTAAGAGACGTGATTTGGGCGAAAAAAGAAGAAAAATGCGAGAATGGCAAAAAAAAGGCGGGAACGAGATAGAGAGATAACGTTATCGTGGACCATATATGTCCAAAATAAATGAATAAATAAATAATTAGATAAATAAACATTGTTATATTTTAGGGGTGAAGTGTAATTTGAATTAAGACCGGCCGTCGGAATGAGCGACCGATCCTGGTGTAATATTACACTTCAATCATTTGATATTACACTTTTAACCTTTTCATATTACACTTTTAAATATTATAATTCATCCAATTTTCTCTCTCACCCTCACTCAATGTCAGTCATCTCCATGTCTTCTCTCTGTTAAGACCTCTCTCTCTCTCTTCACCATCGCCCCCTCCCAGGTATATCTCTCTCTCTCCACGATTTGCCATCACCACATCTCCACACCCCCCCCATCCTTTCCCAGATTTAGAACTTATTTTGCAAAATTTAGAATTTTTAATTTCTACTAGGGCTTCTCAGGCATTTCAGTTATTTCACCAGCGTGTACTACCACCACCGACGACCGCCAATATGCCACCCCAGCGACACTCCCAGGTAATCCTTCAATCCCATCCCAACGCTAATCTCCACCGTCTGCCACCACACGCTCACTAACTGCTCGACAAAATGCCCACAAAAAGTCATTTTCGTTTGCATCTTTCATTACGTGTTCCACTTATATTACATTGCTTTACTTAATTGAAGATTGGATTGCTTTTTCGTTCCTTATGTTTTCTTGTGTCGATATTAAATTGAAAAACATGTATTTGCAGAATATTTTCAAAATAAATTGGTGGAGACCATACAGTTCATGGAAATTCTTAATTTGAAGGACAATGTCGAGAGTATACATTCTTTCGTAAGCTTCCAAATTTAGCAGAGCAGCTTCCTCGCCAAATTGTGCTTAAAAAAGGTGCCTACCCAATTTTTATTGGAGGAGGTTTTACTTTTATTTTGTTGTGTTATTTAATTCATGTTCATCATCTTGTCCTTTGATTTTTGTAGTTACTTCCTTTACTAGCTTTGTCCATAGAATTTGGTTCAACTGTTGCCCTTGCTTTTACTGCACCGTTGAAAATGGGTTCATGGTTTTTGATAGAAGAATTTAGCGTTAAGGTCATACTCCTTAGTTTTGTGTTGTGCCTTCTTTATGGTTATTATTTTAGTGTATGTGGCTAGTAAGATTTCTTGTTACCATATCGTAGGTTCTTCTAACAGTTGTTAAACTTTTTGCCTCCAATGATCGGGCTATTCGAGTTGGTCTGCTGCAACATATTGATCAATATGGGGAGTCATTGTCAGCACAAATTGTTGACGAGCACGTATGCAGCAAGTCATAAGATGATTATACTTAAATATGATTCAAGCACATTGATTTTATTGATGTTCTTAGCATAATCTTTTTAATCCTTCTTAATCATGATAGATTGGGACAGTGAATATTTTTGGTAATGATTTTGATTAGGTTTATCCTCATGTTGCTACCGGATTCTCAGATACATCTACATTTCTTCGGGAATTGATGTTTAAATTCATGCTTGTTCTAAACGTAGATGCACCTTATTCTTTTGCTTGAAGGACCTTTTCTTCATGGTGTTTGGAATACACAATTTTGGATGAAGAGAGTACCTGGCAAAATTTATGAGAATTATGTGTTGTAGCAAGTGAACTAAGAATATGATAGTGGTTACTTCATGTTAGCATATTACTTCTTTTTTGTGATAAAAAATTAATATGTTTTATTGATGATAGGAAAGACCAAGGACATCCTCGGAGTAAACAAAACTCTCATATTAGCTCTTGTTCGATAATTAAGTGATTCTGTTTCGTTATTAATTAATTCAATCGATTAGAAGTCTTGTTTAATCATGTTTAATAAAATTTATAAAACATGAGCCCACTTATGGGTTGACTTTCGAGCAAATTGTATGCTTAAATACAATCTTTCAGTCTTTTTCCTTTTCTTTTTTAGCAGAAATTATGATCTTATAACTATTATTAATTCACATTTTTTTTAACTATCAGTTGAATTTACAATGCTTGAACTGTAGAGAATACACTAGATAATCCCCGCCAGAGAAAACCAGACATCACAAAGGCAAAGGAGTTGCTAGGTTGGGAACCAAAGATCAAGTCTTGATGATCTGATGAAGTTCTTGAGGAGATGTTTGGATCCGGATTTTATATGCTTCCATAGCTTTACTTTTTTCATTTTTGTTCTTTTATCTTATACATGGTGATGTTGAATAAATGGTAAAAGTATGTTTTCATTATATCAGACTATACTTACATAAAAAATATAGGGATATGTAACTGAATTATCCCTAATCCAACAATGAATCAATAAATAGAGAGAGAAGAAAGTGATAATGAAAACTAAATCAGTTACAGATTATACATGAAGAGGGTGAAAAATGCATGATTCTAAGCCAAAAATCCATACCTCAGAGTGTTTATTTGTGTGGCTAAGTGTTGTTAATGTTCTTATTGCATTGTTTCACTGGCAAATTTAATAGTGTAAATCACTTGGCCACAAATCAGTTTATTTATTTGATTTATATGTATACAATAATTACACGAACGTGTTGTGTTCAAAATTTTGCAGCGGATTTCAGAGTTTGATTTGTACCACTGATCTGTTGGTAGGGTGAAATCATATAATAAATCTTCATTGTAACGCACATCATATTTGTTCATTATCACCTTGTACAGTCTACAAAAAAAAAAAACCTCGTACACCGATGATAGTTGTAGGAATTTCAAATAACTACAGAAGAACTATAGTTCAAATTTCCCCTCTGTAACCCCCTGGTCCAAAATAATCTCGTCTTGACCTTGCAATTTGCATATTTTTTTGATGCTCTAACTTGGGACAATCACGGATACGATGGCCTAATTTCTTTTTTCCTTGATTTCTTTTTCTTCACAAGTACTCCTAAGCCTATTTTAAAGATGGCCAATACCTCAATGCTGCAGCATAGCCCGCATCATTGTTAATGGATGAATCATCAATCATATTATGAATGTAATGCAAAAGTAAAAAATCAGCAAACAGTGCAGTCCATGCGATGCACAAATTAAGGCAGCCACATGGGAGCCTTTATATTTTTTTCCTAAGAAGCCAACCAAATATAACTTCCTATCTTTATCGCTCACAAGAACCTGTGAATATGTTGGAGAATATGAAAGCTTATGAAAAAAAATATTTAATCTGCACAATTGCATTTGGATGTGCGCTTATCTTTTGCCCAATATGTTACAAACTCAAAATTGGTTAAACAATCATGCAAAGATGAACCCAAATAAGTTTAACTCAAAATGCTTCGTGGGAAGAAATTGAAACCATAGGTTTTGTCCAAATGTTATGGCTTACTAGATAGAAATGACAAGCAATCCTATGAGACAATTGTTGTATTAGAAACTTTACAAAATGTTTCACACTTCCACTTTGAAAATGAAAGCAAAACCTAATCTTACGATATGACAGTTTATCAAGAACCATGTATAGCATAAAAGCCACAAACACCTCTTTAAAACTTTCTCATCCACAACTTATACAGATAAGATAAGAGTTTGAGGCAGTGACTATATTTGCTCCTGTGTTGTTCTGCTTTGAATCTGAACCGAAGCTTCTCTTGCACGTAGAATCGAAGGTGTCTTTTCATCGTTGAGCTTTAAGCTAAGACTGAACTACAAATAATCAATTAAAGTAAGCACCATCTTTTCAAACGCTAAATGTCCTCAAAGTATTGCATTGCTTGAATCCTCATTGATATTCTAGATTTCAATTGAACAGAATCACAGAAACAGAACTACCCTTCAGGTAAATTGACTTTGTGCTCCACCAATGATATAGTCCGCAACGCATTAATCAGAGACGAGTCTAGCCCCTTCCTAAGAGGATTAACCACAACAACATCTGATCTCACATCTGTACTTTTGCTGCAATTACACAAACAATGTCACATTCAACCAACCCAGCCGAGGGTTGCACTCGTTACAGGACTTTTATGAAGGGCAATCATACTACAAACTCAGCTACCAACCATTTCTATATCTTTCACTGGCAGGAAGGGACGTGTTATGTGTGGTTACTGCCATCTGCAAAAATCGATCATTATTCATTACATTAGACAATATTACAAAACTTAACCATTAAGTTTTTTTAGTAAGTAAGTTCTATTCATTCATTGATATTAACCACATTGGTCACCTGAACGTATCGTAGTTCGCCTGTCACCCGATCTTCATCATATGGCTCAACATTCAACTCAATAATCCCTGAGAAAATTATGAATAAAAACATTAAAAGAATCTTTGTTAATTCTAATTTATAATAATTAAACCTCAAAGGACAAAAAAAAGATTCAACAATAAGATTAACATGTAGGGTAAAGAACAAGCCTTGTTTCAGGAGTTTCACAGTCGCATTGATGTTTGGATGATGAGCTAAGGAAACAAGAGGTTCAGACAGTAAAATAACAATAGAAATCAAAATAGTGGTGTGGGGCTGTGGTGATGCCAGATCGTGGAGAGAGAGAGAGACATACTTGAAAGGGGCGACGCTGGAGAGAGAGAAGTCTTAACAGAGAGAGAGAGAAAGCGTGAAGGTATTTGGCATTGAGTGCGGGTGAGAGTGAAAATTGGATGAATTGGGGGGGGAATATTAAGGAAAAATGTGGATAATTGAATTTTAATTTGGATGTTAATTTGATGAATTATAATATCAAAAGGTTAAAAGTGTAATATCAAAACATTAAAAGTATAATATCAAAGGATTAAAGTGTAATATGAAGGGATTAAAGTGTAATATTACACCAAGATCGGTCGTTCAATTCAACGGCCGGTCTTAATTCAAATTACATTACTCCTCTAAAATATGACAATGTTTATTTATCCAGTTATTTATTTATTCATTTATTTTGGATGGTCCACAATAACCTTATCTCTCTACCCCATTCCTGCCTTTTTTTGCCTTTCTCGCCTTTTTCTTCTTTTCCTGCCCAAATCACTTATTTTACCTTCTCTCCATCCCTATACTGGTACATATAACTTGTTTGAGAATAAAAAATATTTTTGTGATGCAAAGTATTTTTTTGAAAAAAAAATTGGATGGAATGTTTCCTTAGGAAACAGTTGAATTTTTTTGAAAAAATTCAATTCCTACTATTATTGGATCCATCATCCACATCAATCGCAACTCCAAAAAACGGTGTAATCCAACACAAAATACTATCAAAACAACATCAAAGTAACATTCAATTCATTAGATTAACATTCAATTTCATCAAATTAATATTTAATTCATCAAATTAATACCAAATTAATATTTAATTAATCCAATTAATATTCAATTCACCAAATTAACTCTAAATCGACATTCAATTCATCCAAAATAATCCAATAAAAATTCAAGTTATCAATTCAACACCAAAGTAATATGAAAATTAATCAAATAAACATTTAATTCATTAACTTAATGCTAAATTAACAATACATTTCATCTAATAAACATTCAATTAATAAAATTAACATTTAAACTCAACTATTAACATTAAATTCATCAAATACATATTCATTCGTCAAAGTAACACCAAATTTATGTTCAATTGATGAAATCAATACCAAATACATATTCAATTCATACAATTTATACTAATTCGGTGTTAGTTTGATGAATTGAATGTTAATTTGGTGTTAATTTAATGAATTGAATGTCTATTATACGAAACAAAATGTTAATTTATTGAATTGAATGTTAATTTAGTGTTGATTTGATGAATTAAATGTTTATTCGATAAATTTCTATATTACATTGGTGTTGGTTTGATAAATTGAATTTTATTAGATGATTTTGGATGCTAATTTGACGAATTTAATGTTAATTGGATGATTTTGAATATAAATTGGATGAATTGAATGTTAATTTAGTATTAATTTGATGAATTAAATATTTATTTGATGAAATTGACTGTTAAGTTAATTTGATGAATTAATTATTTATTAGATGGAATTGAATATTAATTTTGTGTTAATTTGATAAATTGAAATTTAATTTAGTGTTAATTTGAAGAATTGAATATTAATTTGGTGTTAATTTGATAAATTGAATATTAATTGGATGAAATTGAATCTTAATTTGATGAATTTAATTTTAAATAGTTAATTTAAATATTAATTTAATAAACTAAATGTTTATTATACGGAATGTTAATTTGTTGAATTAAATGTTAATTTAGTGTTAATTTGATGAATTAAATATTTATTCAATGAATTTTTATATTACATTGGTGTTGATTTGATAAATTGAATTTTTATTAGATGATTTTGGATGTTAATT